AATAACCATGTGCCTGCTGCAGAAATAGAGGGAGAAGAAAGGTGAAAACTTAATATAGAAATGCTATAGACAAGATCTTCTTTATTCAATTATGTGAGCTTTGAAGGAAACTAGAAGGAAATTATGGCAGAAAACCTGGTTTTTAGTTTTTCATGCATCACAGAGACTTTTTACATTTATCAGAATGTTTAAATTAGTTATCTCCCACCTGTAGTGCTGGAGGTAGACTAAGGACTAGCTACCATCAAATGTCTTTAACCAGGCTGTGTTGGAACATTTGCAAACACAAATGAAAATGAATGAGGTCTTCAGCAGGGAAATAAAGAGTCTTCCAAATGTAATTTTGAAAGAAATGTGTACATTTTTAGATACAGCCTGGCAAAAAGAAATTCTGCTCTCATCCATGACATGTGATTGCTAGACTGACAGTGCAACTGTGCAGCAGCTCTTACAAGGATTGACAGAATTTATTTCATGATGCTTGGCAGTGAATATAGAAAGGCAACCAAGACCTCCTAAACCCATGGAGGTTTCTATAGAGTGCTGCCAAAGTATATAGCATTGCCACTTCTGGAAGTGGTTTTGTCTCCTTAATCCTAGTCAAGATAGATTTTTAACTGCTGACCTGCAAATGATTTGGAGCAGTGACATTTTCAACTGCTCCAGCAGGTAAGGTACAGGTGCTGCCAACTGCTACCTAAGTATGGGCAAGAACAACCTCACACTGCTTTGTCCAGGATGCAACAGAAATCTGTCAACTTTTGCACAAAAACCAGTTCCTGAATGGTGGGGGAGAGTACCTTCAGCAGTGGAAGAGGGGCAAAAATTTCCTGTACTCTTGATTTTCTTTAAGACTACAAAAAAATGTTGGCTCTTAGAGGGAAATTTCCTCCCTCTCTGAAATTCCTGGCTGGTGCTGTTATTGGGATGACAAGGGGAACCAGCTTGTCTCTGTCTCCACCCTCTTGATGCAGGAGAGAGTAAAGGCAAATAGGTCATGCAAGGGTGGATCAGGGGGTTTTAATACTGCCGTTTCATATGTGGAAGTGAAATATGTTGTTGCATCTGGAAATGCTGGCCTGCCCAACTCTATAATCACCACGCTGCTGCAAGCAAGAGCTGCTCTAGAGGCAGGTCTGTGCCATAGGCTTCTGCCTGCATAAATACGTGGAAGAGAGAGATGTGATACCTGACCCACATTGGTGTGCTAAAGAAGCTTTACTAGCATAACTTGTTTTGCTGTGGGGTAGGGAGGGGTGATAACTTTCCTGTGAAGAGCAACTACAGAGTGTAATTTTGCTGCTGTAAGAGCATCCACATGCTTTGCTGCTTTAACATCCCAGGACTCCTAAGTGCCAAGGTGCAGTGTACCTAACAGAGCACATATTAGACCACCATGTGCTTTCTGAAGGGACACAGTAAGGGAAACTCATGCCAGGCACGGGGCTAAGGAGGAGAAACAAGGAACACCACTGAGAGAAGTCAAGTTCAAAATGCTGTTACCCTGCACTGCACTGACAAGGCTGAAAAAAAGGAACTTTAAGTATGCGTGCTGGGTGTAAGCCCATGGTTTTTAATGTGATACCTTGCATTTAATGTGAGTGCCAAAACTGGAAATGTGAATTTCCTGAATATTTTTTCTCTTTCTTCCTGCTCCTCATATGTATCTGCAGGAGTGGCTCACAATGGGGAAGACAAAATTTATGGTGCAGTCCTGAATCCCTCATCTCCTACCTTGGCTTCACCCCACAGAGCCCCAAACCTTCAAGGAGAACCTAAATGACAGGCAGCACCCAAAAGAAACGCTACCCAGCCTGCAGGGCTCCACGCAGTGCCTCCCAAGAGATAAAAGGCAGGCTGCTGGGATGTATTCATTCCTGCCTTTAAGATGGTATCACAAGGGATGAGCAGGGATGCAGCCTGTCTGCGAGTCCTGCGCGCACAACTTCAAACAGGCGCTCCGGGGCCGGGCGGACTCACCCGGCCGGCTGGGTGGACACCGCCTGTCCGAGCACGTCCAGCTCCCCTCAGACATCTCCCTTGTCCCCAGCTCCCTCCGAGGGCTCTCACACTGAAAGCATTCAGTAATGCTTTCAGCTTTGTCTTTTTTTTGGCTCTTTCCCCTGCAAAGCGACGGTGGGGAATTGCAGGGCGAGCTGCGCCGCACGCAGGAGGCACGGCTTGGCTTTAGGGGTTTAATTTGGGTGATTAAATTCTCCAGTATTAATGCCACATTAGGCGTTCCTCTATTTGAAATAACACCATCTAAGTCAATCAGAAAATATATGGAGCAATCAAAAGTTAATACAGGAGTTGCACAAGTGCTGGGAAGTTACAAGCACTTTACATTCTCCCTTACGGGTTTTGTCTTTCTTGCACAGCCTCGTTGGAGCATGGCAAAGTTCAGAAATCCAGGCCCAGGGTTTTGACAGAAGCAGCTGGCTTTCCTGTGAGTCAGGACAGGATGAGAGACGCTGAATGCAAAAGCAATGAAACTGCAGATTTTAGACAAGATTACTTTCCTGGCTTTGCCAAATTCATTTGAAATGTGCAACTGCTCCCCGGAAGGACATGGACACACCAAATGCAGCTATTTGCAAATGAGGAGCAGCTTTTGGGAAACTGACTTCATTTCTTTAAGAAACTGGGAGGGGAGGAATAGAGATCCACTGTAGTCAGTGGGAAGTTTCCACTAACAGGATCAGAGTTCACTCTGCAGTTAGTACAACATACTGAAAATCAACATGAAGTTTTTCTCTGTTTTATAAACTAAGTGAGTGAATGCAAAGAATCTAGCTCTGAGCTCTTCAAGTTTCCTGCTTCTTGCGTTCTAGGGGCTTGTTCACATATTGGCAAGGCTACTTTGTGCCTGCAGACTACAAATCTTTTCACAACCATGTAAGTCAGCACAAGTTTCCAATCCTTTACAAACCCCACACACAGCCTTAGCCTGGGGTATGTAAAAGGTGTAGGGTGGAAAAAAACACTTCTTTCATAGGAAAAAAAAAAATTTACAACTGTGTTAACCTGTTGTTGTCCTCAGCTACTTTCACCATGTTGGGATGGGGACCCCACATCCCTGGTCTCTTCTCCCTGACTGCCCCACTGCTGGAATAGGCAAAGAGCAGCAGTGGCCGAGGGGACGGGAAGGACAGAAAACAGCACAGGCGTGAGACAAACTGTCTACTATGTGCATTTAGCTACATTAACTCTGCAAGACACTTAAATAACAAAAAATTGTGTTTAATAACTGGGAAGCGACACTGAGGAATGCAAACCAAGGGCTGAAAAGTAAAGGAAACTATGTGGCAAGGGCAATTACCAGTTGGTTAATAGAAAAAAAAAAATAGTTCAACCTGCATTTACAATGAAAATGGGTGCTACCTATTCCTTATTGTCATCCCATAGTAGTGGGATTTTGGTCAGGAAGAGTTTATCTGACAAAATATTACTGTTTACAGCAATACCTTTCCATTTACAGATTATCTATTGCCATTCATAAACATATTACCTATTCATTCCTAGGGGAAAAATAAAATTAAAAGTCACAGTACCTTCTCATTCCCAGGGGCCCTCTCTATGTTACAGCCTGGAAATCAAGAAGCAGTGTACCTGCAAACAGCCAGGAGAATGCCGTGTACCTGAACACCAAGAGCTTGATTGCTGCCTTTGGAGATCTCACTGAAGCCCTCGGCAGGTGCTGAAGTTGCTGCAATCGACTTCTCCAATCTCACTGTGATGGCACTGACATTTACCTGCCAACTGCTCCATAAACCTGAAGTGGTTTTGAGTCATTTGCAACAACAGCTATCAAATAAGCTTTTTACAAGCCTCAAATTCCCCCCTGTGATGACGGCAACCCTTTTCTGCAGCCAGCGAAGAGAAAGCCACAGACAGTGAGTGCCTTGGAAAGCTATCTGAGAGAAATCCATGTAGTAAACCAGAGTGCTACATCTCTGCTGATTATTAAATACTGAACAGCTTTATTGTTGCCTCCCTTCTTGACACAAAAAACTTTTTATAGATTTTTTTTTTTTAATTTACATCACCTACAAGCTTAAGGAATCAGAGTCCTAAAAGTTGTTTCCAGTGGAGAGAGCTGCAGGACACCAACACTGCTGACATCCAAACAAGCAACAAACCAAAACACGGCAGCCGATTCCCTTCAGCTGCCCACTGCTCTGCAGTTTTTTCCCTTAAAGGACAAGCCAGTCCAAAATGTGCGTGCCATCAGGAGAGCTCATTAACTCGCAGCGCCTTGGACTCCCAACGCTGCCTGCCAGGTTTTTTTGCTTTCTTATACAAATGAAAAGCTCTGCAGACAGTTTGCAGCAAAGCCAGACGAGTTAAACTACTACGGATTTTGCCTATTCTATTAAGTTCAGCATACCAGCTCCTTACTCAGCACTCCCAGCTCTACTTTTGATTGTCTAAAGAAGAGAAAAAAAACACAGTAAAGTATTGAAAGCTTAGCGTGCAAACAAGCAGCCCAAGAATAACTCAGCACTTTACAGCTGCCCACAAACCGGTCTCTATTTTATCGAGCCCCACCACCTGCCAAGCAGGACTATTTCTGTTGTCCTCATTTCCCCACTGCTCTCTCCCAGCCACACGCACACGATACATTCCCAAGCTGGGAACTGCAGCCCCAGACACCAGTTGCGGGTTCAAGCAGGTCCTGCCCCAAAATAGCACCGCCACACAACTCCGGGGAATTTTTCCCTGTTGTGAAAATCCCAAGAGCCACAATCCCTCTGCCCCTGCCACAAGGCTGGGGGGACTGCAATACCAGGACCCCCTCTCCCCAGCACCCGTTCCAAGCTGGGCTCCCCTCAGGGAGCCACCATACTCTCTCCCATTGCCATTCTAGGGGCATCAGCCACCTCTCCGGAGTCCAACACCCCCCTGCTCCACTGCTGTCACCACCAGAAAGGTATTCCTCACCCCCTTCCCCCCCACCCCGACTATTGCCCCTTCACAGAGAAGAGAAAGAGGATAGATTTATGCTTTTAAAACATTTTATTTATTACCAAAATTTCCAGAAGCCAAATTTGGCAAATTTTTTTTTTTATCTTCTGTAAAGTTTTTCATGCATAACTTGAAACTTGTCAACTGCAACAGTCAAGTGGTTACTTTAGAAGAGACAGAGACAAACATCCAGAATACAAACAGCTGTATCTGAATTAACAACATTTGTCTATTACTAACCTTATAAAGGAGGACGTGCCTTCCCTCTTATCAAAACCAAGCTGACAGATCTGCCTTTATACACACCCAACAGAATAAACTCTGTTATCGGCAAGGATGTTTTCCTTAAACGTTAGAAAAAAAAAACAAAGCAAAGAATGGAGTGACTGTCCATAAACCAGTCTATACTTCAGTCCTCTTTAATCGACTTCTTCAATGGTGGGGCCGCCAGAGCCACCTGCCCCAGCCCCTCCATCTCCCCGGTACAATTTTGTGACAATTGGGTTGCAGAGTTTCTCCAGCTCTTTCTGCTTGTGCTCGTACTCTTCCTTCTCAGCCATCTGGTTGCGGTCGAGCCAAGACACCACCTCCTTGCACTTGTCGAGCACTTTCTGCTTGTCCTGGTCACTGATCTTTCCCTTCAGTTTATCATCCTCCACTGTCTGCTTCATGTTGTAAGTGTAGGACTCGAGGGAGTTCTTAGCTGCCACCCGATCCCGGTTAGCTTCATCCTCTGCTTTGTACTTCTCTGCTTCTTGCACCATACGGTCAATGTCGTCCTTGCTGAGGCGCCCCTTGTCATTGGTAATGGTGATCTTGTTCTCCTTACCCGTGCTCTTGTCCACGGCGCTGACGTTCAGGATACCATTGGCATCGATGTCAAAAGTGACCTCGATCTGGGGGACTCCCCTGGGTGCTGGGGGGATGCCTGTTAGGTCAAACTTGCCCAGCAAGTTGTTATCCCTTGTCATAGCCCTCTCACCTTCGTACACCTGGACCAGGACACTGTTCTGGTTGTCTGAGTAGGTGGTGAAGGTCTGAGTTTGTTTGGTGGGGATGGTGGTGTTGCGCTTGATGAGAGCAGTCATCACTCCTCCAGCTGTCTCGATGCCCAGGGACAGAGGGGTGACATCCAACAGCAGGAGATCCTGCACGTTCTCAGACTTGTCTCCCATGAGGATAGCTGCTTGTACAGCAGCACCGTAAGCCACAGCCTCATCGGGGTTGATGCTCTTGTTGAGCTCTTTGCCATTGAAGAAATCCTGCAGCAGCTTCTGGATCTTGGGGATCCGGGTAGAGCCACCCACCAGCACGATCTCCTGAATCTGGCCCTTGTCAAGCTTGGCATCACGCAGAGCCTTCTCCACCGGCTCCAAGGTGCCACGGAAAAGGTCAGCATTGAGCTCCTCAAAACGGGCACGAGTAATGGAGGTGTAGAAGTCAATGCCCTCAAACAGAGAGTCAATCTCAATGCTGGCCTGTGTGGAGGAGCTGAGGGTGCGCTTTGCCCTCTCACAAGCCGTGCGCAGCCGCCTCACTGCTCGCTTGTTACCAGCAATGTCACGCTTGTGCTTGCGCTTGAATTCTTCCACAAAGTGGTTCACCATACGGTTGTCAAAGTCCTCCCCACCCAAATGGGTATCGCCAGCAGTGGACTTTACCTCAAAAATCCCATCCTCAATGGTAAGGATGGAGACATCAAAAGTGCCCCCTCCCAGGTCAAAGATAAGCACGTTCTTCTCTCCAGCCCGGGTTCCCTTCTTGTCCAGGCCATAAGCGATAGCAGCTGCAGTGGGCTCATTGATGATACGCATCACATTGAGGCCTGTGATGGTGCCGGCGTCCTTGGTGGCCTGGCGCTGGGAGTCATTGAAGTATGCCGGCACTGTGATGACAGCATTCTGCACCTTGCACCCCAGATAGGCCTCAGCAATCTCCTTCATCTTGGTGAGCACCATGGAGCTGATCTCCTCTGGGAAGAAGGTCTTCATCTCCCCCTTGTACTCCACCTGCACCTTGGGCTTGCCTCCCTCATTCACCACACGGAAAGGCCAATGCTTCATGTCCGACTGCACCGTGGGGTCATCATACTTGCGGCCGATGAGGCGCTTGGCATCAAAGATGGTATTGGTGGGGTTCATTGCTACCTGGTTCTTGGCAGCATCCCCGATGAGCCGCTCCGTATCGGTGAACGCCACATAGCTGGGTGTGGTGCGGTTACCCTGATCGTTGGCGATGATCTCCACCTTGCCGTGCTGGAAGACACCCACGCAAGAGTACGTGGTGCCCAGGTCGATGCCGATCGCCGGCCCCTTGGCAGACATGGTGTCGGCTGTTTGCGCTGCTGTTCGCCCGTGTCCACCCCGCCCGCTCCAGCTGCCGCCGCGGCGCGATATGCCCAGCTCGCGCCGCCGCCGCCCCTTTTATACCCGCCGCCGCCGCTTCTGGAACCTGCCAGAACCCTGACGGCCAATCCAGACGCTCCTCGAACTGCCGTTTGGCCAATCGCCCCCGCGAGCCGCCGGGGAGTGCCCGCCCTCAACGCGCTGGCCAATCAGAACAGCCAGCGCCTACACGCCAGCCCGCCCCTCGGTGGGCCGCGATTCTTCCGGGTTTTTCTCGTGCGCCATCGCGCTCAGCCAATCCGCGCCCGTGCTGTCCACTCGCCCCGCCCCCGGCGCGGACCTCAGCTAGAACGTTCCAGCTGACATGACGTTATGCCGGAGATTGACAGCAGCGCTGTCCAATGGCGGGCGGGGGCGGGCCGGCGGGGCGGCCGCTGCGGGACGGCCGCGCGGACCCGCGGGGTGTGGGGGGTTGCGGGTTCGCGGCCGCTCGCTCCGTGCGGTGTCCGTAACTGCTGAGCGCTCAGCCCGGCACTGCGGAATTTGCCCTTATTTGGTCGCGGGGCGGCAGAAATTTCACCCTCCCTCCCTGACACGGACACACGCCTCCCTTCAGCCGTTCAACTGTCAGGGGGGAACGGCCGCCACCCCGCCCCCGCCGCGGCGACCCCCGAGCTGTCCTGGCGGAACGCCTCCCCTCACGCACCCCGCGCCCTCCCGCTGAGGGAAAACGCCCCGCCGAGCCCGTGTTTAGCCTTATTTCGCCCGAACTTGGCGGGCTGACAACACCCCCGCCCCGTTCCTGTCGCGGTACCCAAACCCGGGGAGTGGCACCGGGTTGTGTCCCCCATCAGAACTGAGGGAATGGCAGCGGGCTGTCCCCTCCTGCCGTGGTACCCGACACAGGGAACGACACCGGGTTGTGTCCCCCATCAGAACCGAGGGAATGGCCCCGGGCTGTCCCTCCTGTGTCCCCTCCTGCCCCGGTAGCTGACACAGGGAACGACACCGGGTTGTGTCCCCCATCAGAATTGAGGGAATGGCCCCGGGCTGTCCCCTCCTGTTGTGGTACCCGACACAGGGAACGACACCGGGTTGTGTCCCCCATCAGAACCGAGGGAATGGCCCCGGGCTGTCCCCTCCTGTGTCCCCTCCTGCCCCGGTACCCGACACAGGGAACGACACCGGGTTGTGTCCCCCATCAGAACCGAGGGAAGGCACCGGGCTGTCCCCTCCTGTGTCCCCCCCCTGCCCCGGTACCCGGCACAGGGAATGGCACCCGTGGGGCTCTGGGGGCTCTGCTGCTGCGTGTTCCTGCGTGACCATTCTTGAACCGCCTCCAAATTCTTGTCTGTTGTGCTAATGTGGGATGTCGTCACGCCTACGTTTAGCAAAAGCTATGGAGCTATTAACTCGGAGGTAGGAAAAGTGCTTTGATGAAAATATATTAAACATGAAAATCCGCTGTGGTTTCTCCAAATTATGCCTCCGTACTCTGAGACAAACACTTGAAAACATTCCAGTTCTAGTAAGGAGGGCAAAACACCATCCTGAGATTCTTTTTTTTTTTTTTTTTTTACTGACACAACAGTGACAACTATTTTTTTTTTTTTTTAATACAAGGAGTCTTAGTGAGTAGGTCCTTTTCAGCTCCTTTAAAAGTGTTGCTAAAAGTTTGCTATCCATGGACTTCAGGGGTTGTGTGAGAGAAGGATTAATGTCACTGTATACTTAAATTCTCTTTCATTAGTTTTGTCCCCAGCCTTCAGCAGTTTGCTGTACATGCCCTCATAGAAAACGTGTTACAGCTTTTCCCAGAGTGATTTGTATTCACACAATTATTATAGGCACTGTAACTCCTGTTCAAAAACATCCTTATTTCCATTAGTGTATTTTTCAAAGCCTTTTTTACAAGACATGAGAACTCTACCTCTTCTGTGCATTATGTGTGTAGTTTTGTGATGGAAGAGCCTGGATTTCTGACCATATATATTGAACATGCTTAAATAACTATAAGTCTTACATGGATCTTGATTTTTTTTTTTTTTTCCCCACATGGGTTCTGACCTTGGAGCAATCCAAAAGAAGTCACTGGAAAATGGGAACCATCAGCTGTCTCTGCCTACAGGAGCTGCTCTGTATATCCTGTGCGCATATTTCTTTGATGGGAAGGGTGTCGGTTTCTCTTGTAGTTAGACCAGTGACTGATTCATCGCTGAACCATCTCATCCTGTAATTCACTGCCACTTCATTCAGTTGATTGTATTATGTGGGACAGGGAGAAATGCCAGAGCAATACAAAGAGAGGTGGATAATAAATTCTGTTTCAGCTGAAAAGTTGATGTTGTTTATTATTTGTATCCTTGTGAGGACTGTCCCTTAGGAGCACTAATAACGCACAAGAAGCCTGTTTTAATAGCTGCAGTACAAACTCAGACCCTGTTATTCCGGAGTAAAAAGAAGACTCCTGCCTCAAAAACATATTTATAGAAGCAGTAGATGGAGAGAACAAGTGGAATAGGAAATAACACAATATTGATTAACACAATAAACAGTCTTTGCAGAAAATTAATCTGATGTCTCAACTATAACTGTAATCAAACAAGGTTTATCCAATTTAGAAGTGACATTTCATTTATTTGGCCCAAAGATTTTAACTATATGTTTTATCAGCCCAGGCACAAAATATATACAACAGGCCCAGACAAAGTTTTTTTAGGGTCTCCTTGGCCCAGTAACTAGTGTGGCCCTGATATGTGTGTGCTGACACCCACACGTGCTGGTAACCTGCTAAAGAGGTGTTTGCATTGCCTGGATTACTGCTCACCCTGACAGTACTCTCTCAGTCCTGTTTATTTCATCGTTGGAGCTGTTTTGCTGTAGTAAATCTGGAGAAAAGATCTCGGAGGAACACATGAGCACACCATTTTAATGCTACTGGTGTAAAGAGACATCCTAAGGAAAAATCCCAAGCTCTCTGGGCTGAGGCTGTTTAGCCTATTGCAGAAGTATTTCTTTTCCAGCTGGGCACACAGGTGCTGTTTTCTTCTGTACAATGGTATGTCTAGGTCCCAGCTGCTTTTTAACTTTCATTCCTATTCAGTCAGAAGTTCACAGGACGTTCTTGCCATCACCTCTTACTGATGTCCTTAGAGAAAGTCCAGTCTAACGAGAGGGAGCAACCTCTAAAACCTCATTAGACGTATTCTCTCTTCTCAGCAGAGCTATTACCAACCTGCTTTTTGTCAGCAGTTTGTGAACCAACTCATCCATGTAGTCATCCTCTCATATGGGAAGAGCCACATGGTTCCCTTTTATGTTGCTTCATATACAATCATGGTACAGGTGAGCCAAACCAACTGGTTCAGAAATTAAAGAGTGAGCTTTATGGGGAAGACTTCAGCACAAGTCTGATTTTCCTTTTAACAAAACATTCGCTGTTATTCCCTCATCCTGAATCTGTAAGCCATATTTTCACAGCAACTCCCAGAGCAGCAATTTGGCACCTCTGGCAGTGGCAGGCCTCTTTCTGGTCCATTTATTTGTGTTTAGGATTGATTATGCACCCATGTTTCCTGTTCAGCAGTGTTACATAATATGCTGTAGGCTATTCTCCATTACACCACCCAGCCAGAAATGAAGATGATATTTAGTTTTCTTCAGTGAAGCAAGAGCTCAGTATCTGGAGCAGAATTGGGAATTCAACCCTTATCTTTATCTTGATAAAAGGAAGATTTCCCCACACCCCACACCCCCACTTGTTTTATAAGGCAATAGAGTATAAAAATAGGACTGAGCCCAAGTTACAGTTCAATCAGACATCAGCCACTTGGAAATGCAATGAATGATTTTTTCAGGTTTGGCACTCAGAAGACCTTAAATTGTGGTACCCATTTCCCTTGTAAAACTATCCCAAAAATTGCATAGATCAAACTGTACTGATGAGAATGGATTATTTCATACTACAGCAATCAGTTCAGAAAAGTCTAAGCAACTGCTATTCTAAGATCTAGTAATACTTTGTCACAATACCTTTTCATCACTTAAATTCTTCATCTTGTTTATATTTGTGAACGTATGTCTGGTTCTTGGAATTCAGACAAGAACTACCAGCATATAAAATGACAAGATTCTTCTAACAAGGTGTTGCATTAAAAATCATAGTGTATGTGGGGGGAACTACGTAACTTACTTTGTATTTATATACCTCCAAGTTTTGTGCACAGCTGCTCCTTGTTAATTTAAAGGGCAGCCACAAGACATCATCTTACTTATGTAAGTGCTCCTTTGTTTTTGTGACTAACAAACAAAGTTCTGCAAATTTATAACGTGTTTTTTGGCAAATTACACAAATGCATGATCAGTACCATGGAAATAGAACAGCAGAATATAGGGCACTGTAATTTCATACTGCCAAACCAGGAGTTCAAAACTCGTTAGTCAAATCTCCTAAAATTATAAACCTATTGGCTTTATTCAGCTTCTGGCTTTTTTATTTTTTACCATATGTTCAGATTACACTTTTAGGATTTTCCACGTAATTTGCAGGTCTAATTTTTTTTTAATAAATAAAATAGTTCATTACACCATCTCAACTGAAATCAGGCTGCCTCAGATTGATTACAATCAATAAAATCATGGAAGTTGTCAACACTGATTAAAATAATGCTTGATGCTTCAAGGAATAATTGTTTTATAATTAAGTGGCTTTTAAGCACATTTATTTGCATAGACTTCTGACAGTTTGCTAAGGTATGATTAAAAGCTGAAGTTAGTATCACTAGTGCTAACTAGATAAACTGGTGTGCTGTGCATTTTAGGCAGTGAGTTCTTCATTCCTTTAACTGCAGCCTCCTTTTCTTGCAGGCACTACCAGCTCTACTGACAGTCCTAAGCAAGTGACTTTAAAGCAAAACAATTTCCAGCAATCACAGAATCAGATGAGAAAAGGACCTCAACAGGTCATTTAGTCCCATTTTGTGTTTAACCAAAACTTCCTTTCTTGCAATTTAAGACAATTCTTTTTATTCATATTGACTTTGGATATGACAAACAGTTGTGCCACTTTTCTTTGCAACCAGATTTTATATATGAAAATCATTGTGTTTTCCCTCCCACAACTCTTTTGTAAAATGACTTAAAATTACTCAGCCTGTACTCAGAAGCAAAGTCTTCTTGGTTTCCAGACATTCACTGCTTTCTCCTGGATTCTCTGCACGC